TTCCTGCCACTAAAATGGGTTGTCACTATACCAGATATCCTAAATATAAATAGGCTATATGAATTTTAAGCTAAGCAAGGTGTACAATGAAATATCAGTTGCTAAAGACATGGGCAGCTTTCATAGCTACTATAAAGTAAATGCGATGTGAATGCTCTGCTTTCACTTCTAAAATTTTTCATCACTAAGTTTAAAGTGCATTATCCGACTTCTATTGTGGTTACGCGCATATTGAATGCTAGGGATGCCAACTAGCTTAAAGAAATATATTTTTATAGAAAATAAAGGATTTGTTCGCATTTCCACCCAGCATCCATAAGATAAATTATATAAAATAGTCTCAAAATTCAAATAAAACATTCCTATAAGGAATTCATTCAACCGTCTATATTTTATGGAATTACTTTAAAAAAGGTGCAATAGCGTAAAGGCAACTGGCAGAATTTATTCGATAGCACAGTAGAGAGATTTGGTAGTTTGAGGAATTAATGAATTTTAATTACATTTAAGCTAGTTTCAACGGTCTCTCCAAATTTTGAGTCATACGCCCAACAAATTTAATTCAATAGATTAATGTCGCACGACCCTTGCGTTCAATATCAAGCAAACATGACTATCAAATTTAATTTATTCTATGGTAAAAATAATACTTACTGTCATCAATTCCTTCTCCTCCGTGTTTGGATTCGCGGTTGAATAGCCGAATTCCAGCCACTAATGACACTAGTTCATTAAGATGGCGTGTCTTTTCAGCTCTGCCCATCGTTATAAATACATTTAGTTCAGTTTGTGGGAAAACGCTTTGTAATGCAGCTTTTTCACAATAAAGGTGATAAAGGAAGCCAAAATGTTGGCAAAAATATGAAGCCAGTATAATGGAATTAAATTTGACTTTTAGTGACAAACAATCAATGGATATATTTTATATAAAACTTTACCATACTTAATATTTCTTTTCCTGCATAGATTATTAAATAAAAACATGCGGCATACTGCCATATTTGTTTAAGATAAATTCTTAAAACTAATAAAAAATGATAAGAGTATAATTCTCACTAAGACAAGGAAATCCTTCTAGGCTGTCAAGTAAACATAAAATTCTAGTTTTATGTAAACAAATTGCTAGTAAAGAAACATACGAAAAATTGAATACAACATTTAAAACATCTTAGATTGCCACATGTGTTAAAGGTGAAGATTTATAAAAGCGGGTAATTAGCATATATATAAAAATAGTTCATACTCCATATAAATAATTTAAATCCTTGTTAAAAGTATTATTTTATTGATTCTTTGTTATATTTGATAAATTTATAAGTAATTATAAACATTTTTTTAATATTTAAGAGTACACTGAGTCTAGTTTGCAGTATCATTATCAAAGCAGGTAAACAGAAAAACATACCAGTTGATTCACGAACAACAACTAAATTTGTTGGAGAGCCAAGATCAGAGTGCAACAAAATATATGATACAAACTTTCTGTAAAGTAAGTCTAGCTCCTCTCTTGTAGTAGATCTGGAATCCGTGATTTCTTGTGCAAGGGGTATTAACCGGTTGCTTACAACCTGACCATGTTCAACCAAAAATTCATCTAAATAAGCAAATATGGCAAATATAATATAAAATAAAATTTTCAGTACAATAAATTTGACACATATACTCACCAGGTTTAGAGTAATTTAAATCAAAAAAAACCTGCATTTTAATAGTCTGAAGACAAATCGATTCTAAATCTACTAATTTTGCTACGCATACCTTAAAATATGTAATTTAAATAGGATTACTTTAATGAGTCTATGAATATCATCAGTAGTTAGTGGCTTTTCGGGTTCAAACGTGTTATCTGGATCAAGAACTACAGCCTTGACCTAGCTTTTATACACAACAAAATATAATAACCATAAATGCCACCAAGGTTTCTGAAACGACTTGACCTTTATCATTGCATTTACTAATTATTTCTCTGATTATATTTTTAATAACGCTCTCGGCTTGCGACCTAGACATATTTAAATATTCGCTCAAAATAGACCCTTATCACCATGACGACATTAAACGTTACTTAACGGCTAGATTAAAAAAATTAAAAGGGTTATATTATTTTTTTCATTATTAAAAAAAAGTTACTTTGTTTATATTGGGTTTTATATTATGATCTGGAGGAAGGTCTTATACAAAGATCAGGGTGTTCCTGATAATTTTGTATCATTTTCTTTTCTACAAGATTTAAAGAAGAATTGTATGTCTTATTTTCACATTTTCAAGTAACTGTCAAAAAGTATAGATTATTTGACATTATCATTGGTTCTTGCGTAATTTACCAACAATTATGCAGGTATTTATTATTTTTATTTTTAATAGCAGCATATCAATTTTCGTTTCTCTTCATATTTATCTCTTTTGGAAAATAATTGAACCTAGCGTACTCATTTCCGTATTTCTTCTGCTCATTGTTATCGGTTATTCTATTTCGTTCTCTATGAAGGAGAGCACAGAAAAATCCTTTGATATAGGTAATCCATAAGACCTTTGATCTCTCATCACTATATACATATTCAAAGAATGTAGTTTGGCTCTGTAAATACTTTTTTAAAGCATTATGCTAGATTAAATTGTATATTTCATTTTGAGATTCCATTACTTGGCTTAGAATTTTATTTATATTTATTGCTGAATCCAACAAAATTTCGGGTACATATACATATTGAAAAACATAAAAAGAATTCGACTTTGGTATTTTAGCTTAAGTCGAATTGATGCCCATTTCTAGGCTTCCGGTTGCAGTACGGTTGTTGTACCAATTTACTATCAATACTACCACTAACAAATACTCTATGAGAGTAAATCTAAAATCTGAAAGTCATATTTAATGCTTGATTAAATTTTTAAATGCCATATGAGCGCAAAAATTCATCGAAACTGCACTACCCCAGAACATAGGTTATGTGCATCGAAGCTGTACCCAAATCGCTTAAGAGATTAACAATACTTTTACTGACTCTCAATTTAATGTCTAAGAATACTAGCGCATATGCTAGTCTGATGGCGTTATGATTTCGATTTGATTATGAAAAGTTTTACATTCTTTTGGAATTTATTTGTAATCTTCTTTTATCCCTTTCACAGCTCTACCGCTTTTTCTACTCATCCTTTTTATTTACCATGATTTTCGTTAAAATAACTTATAATCTGCTTTTCTACTTCACTCCAATGCCTATGCAATTAATAAAGTCCTCATTGAACTCCGCACTGGTGTCGTATTTTTCACATTTAGCCTGGCTTTGGCCCCAATTCTACATTCATTGCTTGATACCGTGAGCACTGACTCTATTCATGCTCTGGCTTTTTGCTTGCTTCTTGTCAATTGGATCACCTTTGACTATCCACTTAGCCGGGCGACCCCCTTCTCCACAACCGGAAGTAGGATTCGCCAGCCCGGGTCGGATGCAATCTCACTGACAGCCGCTCTCTTGGCATCACTCTGTCTGGCAAGTCGGCTTCCTGGGCCTTTACATACTTTTGTGCTGGTTTCTGTTGCCATTGCACTCTTTGCTCTCTGGCCACTTGTATCCAGACGCTTTCGGGTATGTCTGGTTTGATTTTATTAATGTGATAACTAGTTATCAGATCCTATTCTTTCTATCTTAGTAGCGTCCGGATTTCTAGCATCTTATTCGGCCACATGCGTTAATTTTCTATTTCAAATGAAATATATTATGCGAGAGTTAGTGACCGCATTTTTTCGCTATTATAAACCTATTGTTGCTTTGTTTTTATATTACACTCGTTTTAATCCTCACTATATGTTTTGCTATGTTTTTTTGCACTTCAATATAATGCGAAAAGGGTGCGAAGTAAATGTTGTTCGAGTTTTTTCGTTAACTACTGCCAAATTTTGGATTCAAAGTTGAGTTAGAATCGTGTATATCAAAGGAGTGGTTACTGCGACTCTTGACTCTAGAATTAATTCTCCTTGTGATAAATTATACCAATCACTATCACTGGCTAGATAAAATTGTTGTGCCAAAGCCTTCATCTAGCGACACTTTTTAGAAATTAAATAAAATTAAATTTTTGTGTAGAAACAATTTATTTACTGCTTGTGTAACCATCTCAAATGTAATCTAATTTCTTTTAGTTTTCTTATTCGATTGCGAATATTTTTTATATTCATTCTATACTTGATTATCTCTGACTTAATTTAATGTTAAGCCATCTGCTAACATCATTTCTATATTATCCACTTTGGCCAAACAAGAAAATGTTTGTAATGTAAATGCACGCCAACAGACTTTTAGCTTTATTTTCTCTATTTTACTTTACTCCAGGTTCAATGGGGTGACTATGGCGAACTTGGAATCACTCTTCTCCTCGGTATGACTGCTAACTTGTTGGCTTGGCACCTTAATCATTATTCCAATCTAAACAAGTTTTCAAGTCATGAAAGGGAGGATGAAGAGGCTAGTTACCAATGGATGCTTTGGTTCGCAAGTTTTGGTACTCCGCTTTGCCTTAATTTTATCGGACCCTTTCTTTTTTGGATGGCGCAGAGCCTTAGGAGGTATGCTACAGTCAATAGTGCTATTATGACCATAATATTTGATAATTTATTTTCATCTTTATATACTTTTCTTAACTTACTGCGCATAATCAATAAACTCTAGATAAGTTAGTGGTTTGACCTCGTTGTCGCAACTTTGCATTATTGTCCAGAGACATTAAAAAACGCACCTAGTCCGTAGTCCTCTGCCATAGTAGTTATCATAATTCCCAGCATGAGAGAGTGGACTTGGTACATTCTCAAACGCTTCGCCAGCATCGTCCGTAAGTGCTGCCATTCTCCACACCAAACTATGAACTCGTCAAAGAGACAAATGAAATCAATCTTTCCTTCAACGTTCTGCCGAAAAAGGTTACACTATAACTCCTTTCTGTCCTGGCCTATCTATCAACTCCTAACCCTCTTATCCAACTCCTGCCCTATCAAAATTTCTCACTTGTTTACATTCCACTCGTCAAAATGTGTGCCCTTTTGTGGAAAATCTAGTCTAGCCTCATCACACTTCCCATTCATCCCGACCACTCTCTTTCGATCGGCTGATCCGACTCGGGCCTCCAATCCGGATCCCCCTCATGGTCCCGTAGATCCGTTCCTTATTTTTCTGGTTCACCGATTTCACTCGGTTCCAGCGCCTGGAGTGAAATGCACACTGGGACTGGAACCGAGTGAAAACGGTCCACCAAAAATGTAAGGAAAAGGAACTACGAGGCCATGAAATGGATCCGGATTAGAGGCCCGAGTTGGATTAGCCGATCGAAAAAGAGGGGTGAGGTGAATAGCAAGTGTGATGAAGCCACTAGATTTGCCAAAAAGGGCACATTTTGACTAGTGAGAAGTTGTGATAGGGCATAAGTAATTCCTACTCAACTTTCTACCTCTGTTTCTCACATTCAATGTATTTCCTAAGCTATTAATTTCAATAGCTTCTTATATCTTTCTTTTAAACACAGACGTACCGTAATCAGCAAATCTACTAGTTTGAGACCACTCTATTTCATGTCCCGTTTCTACCATTTGTTCGGCCACTTCTGACCGCTTATCTGATAGATTGCTCGAAGATGTAAGGAATAGTATTGAACTGGAGATGATCCCTCATTTTAACCATATAATACCACCTAAGAAAGATTGTCATATTAATAAGATTTCTTTATATCTGCGTATTAAGAATCTAATCGTAACGAAAGCCGACAAAGGTTGAACAGTGGTAGTCATGGCTAAATCAAGTTATGTAGAAAAGATGCTAGTTCATTTGAATGACAATGACACGTATAGACCTTTATTGAGAGACCCAACCGAAAGACTTACGACCAGGGTAAAAGATGCCCTTAAGGTATGCGTAAATAATGGGTGAAATGGAAAAGTGGAAAATGAATTCACTACTCCAGAGAGATGCAAGGGCCCCCATGGCTTATGGTCTCCCTAAGGTTCACAAAGAGGGTGCCCCTAAGATTAATTGTAAATGCTAAAGGAAGCGTAATGCATGAAATCTCACGGTTTTTATGTATACAAATAATGAACTCTGCCAATTATTGGCTATATTCAGTTATAAATTCGTATGATTTTGTGAAATTACTAGATCAGAAGAGGATAAGCTAGTAAGCTTTGATGTTGTGTCCATGTACACAAACTTTCCTGTGCAAGGAGCTATTCAAGCCCTGATACAAACTCTGGAAGAACATCCAGAGATGACACAAGGAATAAGCCTGAGAGTTGCTTCCATTATTAGATGGTTTCGTAACTTGATTGTCATGCTTACAAGCTGATATCTCATTATCTCAACCATACTTGTTTTCGGACCTACGCAGTTTCAGTCAAGGCTTTCTCTTGGGTTATTAGGTCTTGAGGATCAGAACCTGAGATAACTCTGATTTAGAACCGTATTGCATATCGACGCTAACACGCAAAAATACACATACTCATACAATCGAGCAAAAATCACAGGACCAGTATGAAAAAAAATTAACCAAACCATTCTATACCGATCTATCTTGGTTTTTAATTTTCTTTTTACTCAATAAAGTCTATATAAGTAGTATGATAGAGCCGCACAATGTTCTTGGCCTAGTGT